TTATTTAGTAAATTATAAAGAATTTAACAAATTGCGCAACTTCTTGAACAAAAATTTGGATAATAAATATTATGAGAATAATATTCAAAATGATCATTCGAAAGGAGTGCCAAAGGAAATTAAAAACTTACAAGTTGGTTTTATTTTGATTATTATAGCGGTATCTCTTTATCCCAGCGCTTGTTTTATATTTGAGACGCGTATGCTGTAGTCATAAGGTAAAAATAGTTGGCAGATCAAACACAAATGTTTAAACACGCATTAAAAACCCGCTTCAAGTAGCTTTTCAAATTTTTATAAAATTCTATTTCGTCCCCAAATGTCGGGTCCTTAATGGTCGAGTCCCTAAGTGTCGGATCCCCAAAAATCGGGTCACTAAGTGTCGGGTCCCTAAAAGTCTGATCCCCAAATGTCGGTTAGCCCATCAAACGCAAAAATAAATTTACAATGATAAATCTATCGTCTGGCTCCAAATAGATAGACTCTAGCTCAAAATTTATAAGATTAAAAACCGACTGAGTAAATGACAACAATACAATATGCCCGGACCTAGAGGATATTATAAACAAAAGTCCCGGTTAGCAAGATTTGTTGAGATTTTGATATCGATGTCGAATATCTTAAAACGGTTCCACCCAAAACTCTTCATTACGCATCCGTCAATTTTGTAATTTATTATTAATAATTTAAAATTCAGAACTTATATATGTTAACAGTTGAATTGAATAAGCTTTCTTTTGATTCGATACTAAAAGCTCGCGGACTCTGTGAAAATGTAAAAATTCGAAAGGAAAATGAACACTATACAAAAATTATTATTGAATTCTTCAGTAAATTAAATATTAAATTCAAACCAGAATTTTCGTTGAATAAAAATTCGAATAAAAAAGAAAAACCATCTTTAAAAATGATTTTAAAAACAGCTTATAATGATCATAAAAATTTTGAAAAAATAAAAAATTATAATCCACAAAATGAGGCTATCAATAAAGAGAAAAGAGCTAGAAATAATTCAAGAAAAACCGAAGGGAGTTCAACTAAAAATTTACTTGATTAAAATTTTTAAGTATCATGTTTTGTGTATTTATTTTTGATGATGTTTATGTAAAAAATTTTGGGTACTTGTGAGTTATCCCAAACCAGTTTTTGCGGACTCTTTTGTATACACAGAATGGTCAGTCTTCCTCCTTTCCTCAATTTCACGCTATTTCACTATGGCATTATTCAATGAGAGGTCATGTTTGCCTCTCATTGAATAATGCCTAGTAAAATATGGCGAAATTGAGGAAAGAGGAAGACTGACCATTCTGTGTATACAAAAATGTCCGCAAAATATTTCCACGAAAACCGTGACTAATCACAGTCTTACCAAATCATGGAACGACCAAAATACGGAATAAAAAAATGTGGACCGATCTGTGCTTTCAGTGCAGCTTTTCGGTAATAGTAGTTTATCCCCACCCCTTTTTTACGGAATCCTTGACCATTTTGAGCTGGGTTGATACCATATTTGGTTAGATTTGTCAAAAATATAAAGCTGCTCCGGGCCGTGTCTGGTTAATTTAGTAAGACTCTGTTAAGGTACGTACACGAAGTAACGGACCATTAGTTCAAAATGCAGAGTTTGGTGCTTATCATCCTATAAAAATATTTCTAAATGACTGAAATATGTAAATAAAAATGAAAAGATTGATCTGTTATTTTCTTATTTGATGGCATTGCAGAAAAAAAAATTCGTTTTTTGTTGCCTCTCTTTATTGCCTCTACAGTGAAATTGAGGAAAGAGTTCACTATGGCATTATTCAATGAGGCAAACATGATTTAAAAATCGGTCATTTATATTTAAAAATAATCCTTTCTTTATTGCCTCTCAATGAATAATGCCATAGTGAAATAGCGTGAAATTGAGGAAAGGAGGAAGACTGACCATTCTGTGTATACAAAAGAGTCCGCAAAATATGTCCGCAAAAACTGGTTTGGGATAACTCACAAGTACCAAATTTTGTTTGTAGAGCTCGGATTTTTAGGTTATTACAAGGATTAAGATTTATATGGAGTATCCATCGGGCAATATTATATATAATATGGAATACAAGTCTTAAAACTTGAACTAGTATCGGACTAAAATTCAAAACAATAAAGTTATCCTTCCTTGTCCTCGATATCCACCAAATTTGCTATTGTCATCCAGTTCACCGATATCCCTCATAACACCCTTTTTTGCAAACAGTGAAGAAAGTGACCCAAGAGGATGGATGAGTCTTAACATTGGGGGAGTCACGATGGCCGAAAGCCAAGCTGAAAACCCTATATAAAGGGAGCTGCAAGGGCAGAAGGACCGAGTTTATACCTATCTAATAGGGCTGTGTGGGCCAGTGACAAAAGTTGCTGATCACAAGTAACAAACACCAACCATAATTGTCAAATACAGCGATTTATATTATATTACAAAATTTTTCGAAAAAATTTTATTTTTGATCAAATATTTGACTTTGCCGTTTGTCCGATCTCTAATGTTTGCACTGAATAAATTAAAAATATAAATAAATATTTGGATAAATATTATTCATTTTACTGAGAATATTTAATGATTTTGTCCATTTTCTTGATTAAAAATTGATTAAAATATTTTCACTCTAATAGAGAGCCCGGATTTTATAATTTTTAATCACCTATCAATGGTCGGTTATGGAGACGGCTTAATTAAAGCCTGTCTATAATTAGCTCGCTGTTAAAGTTTTGGTCTTAACCATATTTCTGGCATTTTAACAATACCCAAACTCTAAAAATATAAAAACAAAACAATTCCCCAAAATATTTTATACAAAAGATTAAATATTTAAAATTTACAAAAGAATGAAAATAGAAAAGAAAAATAGATTTTAAATAGACAGAATTAAATAAAAGTTTTTTGGGGAATCTTTTTTGGATTTTTTGTTTTTTGGTTTTTTTGGATTTTGTTTTTTTTGTTTGTTTATTTTTGATTTTCCAAAAATTTAGTTTTTTTTATTTTGGGTTTTTAAATTTTGTTTGTTTTTTTTAATTTTTTATTTTTAAAATTTTTTTGGATTTTTAAATTTAGAAAAATTCTTACTCATTAGAGAAAGATTACTAATAAATAGGGTGCGGCAAAATATGCACGAAAAATCCAAAAATAGGCGCATATATATGCACTGAAAAATCCCTAAATATGCATTAAAATAAGCAAAATTTCCTAAAATATGCTGCGATATGCAAATATGCACAAAAGTACCGAATGAACCCGGTCCCTAATGTTCGTAACGATGTAAAAACACAATTTTTGAACGTTTCAACTCATGGTATATCCGCATACAAAATATGCATTTGCATGTTTTGCCGCATCCTTCTAATATAAAATTAAAATGAAAAATAAATAATAAAAAATAATCCTTAACTAATCATCTGAAAATGAGTAAAGTTCTTTAGGTTTGAAACCTAGACCAATTTTTTTTAATTGCTCTTGTAGTTTGTTAACACCTTCAGGGACAAAAATAAGCAGTTGACGTTTACATACTGGGCATTTTTTAGTTTCACCTACGCCCTCTTCAACCCAATTTACAATACAATTCTGATGGTAGCTGTGATGATAGAGTTTTTTGGTTTCTTCGTCTTCGCAATAAGTAATTTCAATACACTCCTCTTCTGTATATTCTTCTTGACAGATTGGGCATACTGCTTGCCCTATATTTTTAGCATAATCAAATACCATTTTTCTTTTTGCCATCTAAAACGAGATTAAAATGAAAATTTCAAGTAAAAATAAAAATATGTGTAAAAGATTTGTAACTTTCCAAAAAATTTCTAAATATTTTCTGAAAATTAATATTAATTTATTATTTTTTGTGTACGGAGTTTAATCAATGTCCGGAGTTTAATCAATATTTTAGCAATTTTTCGTGATTTCAAATTTTTGCCAAGATTTTGCGATTTTTATAAGTTTGGATAAAACTTTAAAAATGTAAAAAATTGCATTCATCAACGTCTAAATCGTTCCCTAAATGATAAATCATAAAATGCCCCACTGATCAAGAACCCACAAAAATTTTTTAGTTTTTAGTAGCGATAAACCATATTTTATTTTAATATTTTATGACCATATTTTGCGATTTTATTTTACTAAAAATCTAGACACTAGTGATGAACCGTGTTTGGAAGATGGTACCAAAATTTGTACTCGTACTTTTGTAGGAGTACGAGAAAAAATAGGCAAATATGAATACAAGTTTTTAAACCTATTCATTTTAAACTTTGATACTCATCTAACTATTAAAATTTTAACATAGTTAAAACTTACTCTGCAATCCTCATTCATTTGTTTCAAAATTTCTAATTTTCCATTATAACAGTAACCGTTAACTTCCTCAATCGTTGATGTATCATTACCAATCATTTTATTAATTTTTACTTTTCGTTCATTTTTTGACTCTCCTTTTATCTTTAATACATCTTCTAATATTTTCTTATTCTATAAATTATAATTTAAATTAATATCTTATTCTCTCGATACTCATAGCTGTGAATAGAGGTGGCGGATTCAGGGATCTCTCCATATATCGGGATCCGATTTACAAGCATAGAATATCGAGATATCCGAACTTTTGGGAATACGGATATCCGAATTACAAATTAATCGCGTTTTTTTACAACAATGATAGCACTCCGCATACTCTTAGTATCTATTTATAAGAACATCTAACAAACTGGGAATCATCTTATATTTAATTATAAAAACCCTGGTTTCAGTCAGTGACTGGTGTCTACAATAAAGAAGTACCGGTTAAACCAGAATTATAAGTTCCTTTTTCGCTTAATAGTTAAAGTAAAATTACTAAATGATAAAGCCTAATAAATAAAAATTTTTTAAAATTTAACTGTATTAAAATGAGAGGGTTTCATACGACCACTTGTAACATCGTCAATTAATAATAAACAATCATTGTAAAGATTGAACTCTTCAAAAGATGCCGTGCTATATTTTCCCATCAATTCTTTTAATATTTGTCACCGAATTTCCCCCTCATTTACTGTACTCGAAGATCCAACACCGCTTTCTATACCAGATCCAACGCCACTAGATCCACCATGTCCTGAACTTGAAGCTTCACCACGTTCATTGCGTCCAGCACGTCCAGGCCCTCCACTTCTACGTCCTCCACGTCCACCACGCCCTCCGCCATTCGAACTTGGAAGCAAGATTAAAATAAATATTAAAAAGTAAAGGATGTTGGAAGTTTTTGACATTTTGTCTCAAGTAAAATTCTCCTCTTTAACTGAAATATTGAAGAATAATTTTAATTACTAATCTTAACACTGAACTTAGTCAAATGGTTATTTATAAATATATGAAAATAAACCGAGTACGAATTTTTTTTATATTATTTAAAATCCTTTTATTAAAACATCGTACCATAAACCAAACTTAAACATATTTTATCTACCCGACCATAACCTTACCCGAAACAATTCTAAAACCGAGTACCCCGTCACACCCGCCACGAGATGATTCGAAAGGTTTGTGTGTCTACTTTGGCCAAAGTTCTGAGCTTATGTTTGGGAGAGTATCATTGTGATGGAGAAGATATTCACTATATCAAATCCCTCTTTATCACACGAAATTACGTTCTTGATCCTTTCAAATCAACAATAATTCATTCAATAGCATTCTTATCTCTTGATACACTTTTATCAAAATACACATATAGTTATACGCACCGCCTGCGAGTTAAAATAGGAAGAAATATAGCACTCTAGTCCTTGTATCAAATACACGTTTGAACAAACCAGTTTTAAATTTTTAAATTTTTGCCGGTAAATTTTTGACGGTAGTTCTCAAATATAAAATAACAAAATATTAATTGAAATTATTTTAGAATAGGAAATTTTTAGAAAAATTATTAAACAAAAAAGGAGAGTCAAAAGGTAAAATAAAAAAGACAATGAATAAAATGATTGGAGGTGATGTAACAACTATAGGTGAACTTAAAAAGTATTGTGATGAGGAAAGAAAAAGAATACTTGTGTCAGACTCATTGTGTCAGATCAGAAATTATTCCGCATCTCAAACCTTTCGAATCATAAAAGAATTTGAAGAGGAAATCACTTTAGGATCATTTGCCACTTCCAAATATAATTTTGGAATAAATGCGCTATAATTCAATTCAATAAACATTTATTTAAAAAATATTTCATAATTATACACGTGAAATAAATATGTAAATATTAGATAAAATATAAATTGATTTAACTCGTGTTTATTAAAAAGGCTTGTCTATTTACATACAAAAGAATAATGCCGACTAAAATTGAACTTTTGCTATTTTGAACCACCTTACCATAAGGTCTTTTTATCGAGATTCGACTGTATTTATGGCCAAAGTAGACACTAGTGTTGTGTAGTGGTGACACTACTATAAAAGCCACGCTAAGCGTCAGTCTAATTGGATCATACTAGCCCGGCTAGTCTCTGATCTCCTTCGTCTGTTCCAACCTTATCCTTCGCCTACACATTGTTATTTCTCTTTGGATAAATTGTTATTCTATTGCACGTCGACTTTCGTACAACCCTCGGACATAACAACTAGTTATATCCTTACTGATCACCAAACTAAAATAAATACACAAAACAATTCCCCGAAATATTTTATACAGATTAAATATTTAAAATTTACAAAAGAATGAAAATAGGAAAGAAAAATAGATTTTAAATAGACAGAAAGAAATAAAAGGTTTTTGGGGAATCTTTTTTGGATTTTTTGTTTTTTATGCTTTTTTTAGATTTTTTTAAATTTTGTTCTTTTTTGGGGTTTTAAATTTTATAATTTTTTTATATTTTTTTTTTAATTTTGAGGATTTTTTGGATTTTATTTTTTTATATTTTCTTGTATTTTTTAATTTTTATACTTAATAGTAGAGTTGCACAAAACCGTTTAGCGGTAAACGGGTTTTTTGGTAAAATTAAATGGAACGGTATACGGGTCTCAGATAAACGGCATAAACGGTATACGGTTTTTCCAAAATTAAACGATTTTGTGCATCCCTACTCGACTAGGGTTGTCGGTTTTTAGAAAATATCGGTTAGACACGATTCCGCGCCCACGTTTTCGCGCCAGTTTTTAAAATTAGTTTTCCTGTCATTTTACCAGAAACATAAGTATAAATACAGTTAATTGCTAAATTATCGAAAGATCGATTTAATCAATTAGACTACACATGTTAATCACATCAACTGTATTTTGTAATTAAACTTCTTCAAAAAATTTTCTTTAAATCTTAAGCAAAAGTAGACCAAAATAATACTGGCGCGGAAACTGGGCAAGGAATCATACCGATCGATAAATTTTTTCTATACTCAGAACAAATCGATAAATTTTGGGGAATAGTATTGAAACTAAATTTAATTTACACTAAATAGAATGATTCGACGTTGGAATTCCAGAAGGATTATAACCCAGTAAATGTACATAATCGTAATTTGACAAACAGGTTTCGGTCAAATTTTGGAATTTCAAATGAGAAAAATTCTTTAGCCTTCATTTGAACTAAAACCATTACAAAAACCTAACCGTTATCTACTAAAAATTTTGGGGATCTGAAATCGAACAAAAGATCGGTTTTGTTCCGAGCTGACAACCCTAGTAGTAATAAATTAAAATGAAAATAACTAGCTTATATTTAAAGAATTTTTTTACTAATCATCTCTAGCATGTAAAGTCCAGTTAGCTTGAAAACCAATTGCTTCTAATTTTTCAGTTAGCATAATAACGTCTGGATGCAAAATAGATACCAGATTTGCACGACATGTTGGACATTTGTTATAGTTTCCTTGGCCTTCATTAAACCAATTTACTATACATTTCTGATGGTAGGAGTGGTTACATTGAGTCATTTCAATGACATCATCTTCTTTATAATCAGCAAGACAGACAGGACATGCTTTTTGACCTTTTGTTACAGCTTCGTTTAAAACGATAATGCTCCTTGCATTCTGCAACAAAATTAAATGATTAAATATTCGATTAATTATAAAAATTAAAAGGAGGGGGAAATCTTTCTTTATAGTTTACAAGAAGATCTTTTATTCAGCAAATTTTAATTTAAACAATCCATTTAAATGACTACATTAATAAATGCATTCAGTTTCTTGCATTTCTAGGGTTTACCCGAGCTTCTGATACAAAAATTAGATCAGTTAAAGTAAAGAACTAAAGTTGATGAGAGTCGGTTAAAGACATTTAACTGACACTCCATTCTCGGAGCGGATCTTGATATCCGGATTTATTTACCGAATACTGGACATTTACCAGTCGCAATCTTACAAAAAGTTCTGAGCTTATAAGTGTTCGTAATCGTGAGATTTTGACATTAAATACACTTTTAAAGTCAAAATATTTGACTTTTATTTTAATATTTATTAAATTTTAAAATTTTAAACTTTCAAAAACTTTTAAAATTACACTGAATTTCTCGGGAATTTCACTTCGAAGATTTTCAACTTCCTCTTTACAGTACTCTCTAATTGCAGCACGGGTTGCTTCATCACTAACCATTTTGTTCATTATCACTTTTATTTGCTTTTTTGATTCTCCTTTTTTAGTTAATAATTCTTCAAGAAATTTCTTATTCTAAAATATAATTTAAATTATTATTTCATTTTGTTCTGCCTTTCTTTTATTATTTCTTTCCCTCACATACTTATGGTATTTTTTTAAAAAATCCAAGAAAAATCCTCTTATAGGGAAAAATTAACTATGATCTATAAATAACTATGATCTATTCAGTATACGGCAGAACCTTTTCATAGCATGATAATTTATACGCAGAATCTCATAAGGATTAAATTTTATTCTCCATAGACGATTTGTACTTTTTTCACCATTTCTTACACAAGCAGAAGGAAAATTATGAAATGATACAGTGCGGAAACACTATCGAAAATAAACAAAAAAAATTTCATTTAGACGTTAATGTCAGACCTAATAATTAGAAATTTCATTAAACCTGTTCAATATTATGATAATCTTCTGGATTTTCTGTAACGTATTGGATTAAACGAAAACAATCCATATAATCCCTGATATCAGCAATATCTTTAAGCACTTCTTTAACAAGAGGGATTTGATTTTGTGCTTCATTTGCTGAACTTGAAGATCCAGCACTACTTTCTCCAACAGCACTAGATCCAGCGCCACGAGATCCACCGCCCCTTGTATTTGAAGGTCTGCCTCGTCCACCACGCTTTGGAGCACCCGAACTTGGATGTAAAATTTGAATAAATATTAAAATGAGAAAAATGTAGGATAATTTTGACATTTTGAATGATTGTAAAATTCTATTTAAACTTTAACTGAAATTAAAAAATTTAATTTTACTGATAAAAACGATTGGCACTTATGTCGAGATTGTCTTATTAACTGTTCTCTGTTTGGTATGTTTGGTTAAGTATAAAAAAAGTCAGTAGAGATCAGTCTGGTTCGGCACCTGACCGCCAACGCTCCTGTCCTTGGTCATTCTTAGCTTTATGCTACCCTCTCTATTCATGTATATTTTAGTATTCGGATAAACATGTTATTCTATTCTTGTGTTATTTTGTTAGTCACTAGATTTGACCGAGCCCTAGGATACACAACTCCTCATATTTATCTCAAAATTGAATAGGACTAGCTGGCATTTAGTGATAGAATAAATTTTAATTGGAAAATCGCCATTACTATCTAAAAAACTTATTCCAGTTTTGCGTTTTTTCAAATTGCCTTTTGCGTCTTCCCCTGATCGGAACCGAATGTCTAGGAATTTTGGGGATCCTAGAAATTTTTTTAAATCAGAATAACCAACTCGGTTACCCATAATTAGCCCAAATTACCACAATTACCCCAATACTAGTTTAGTCAGCCCTAGTCTAAGGACCCACCTAATTGGTCCCTGTAAGACCTATTCTTAAAACAAGCAATAGTAAAAATATGCTTGGATGGATGTAATATGATTTCAATATACCTAATTTAAGGCCCTAATGATAAGAATTTCTTAAAGCCTTTATCCAAAGAATAGAGAGTCCTTAAAGATTTAGTCGGGATAAAGCCAAAAATTGCTTCTAGGAGGGTGTATATTAAATTGAATGAAGAATAAAGGACAAAATTATAGGTTTATATAAACATTTGTTATTGGGGCAAGGCTTTAAAATCAGTTTTGAAATTCGATTTTGCTCTCTCTATCTGCTTTGCTTCTCCTCATCATTTTCAGCCGGT